TTCTCCCCAATTCCTATTTCTTGGTGTTAAGAGTTGTAGCTTTGTGCACCTGCACTGCTTCTGTGCAAAGAGGTTGTCTATTTGTACTCCAGGAATAGACTAGGCACCGGGCACCTCAACACTGGGTGTTGAGTAACACCTGTATACTCAAGACATACCCTTTAACTCTGGGGGCTTAGAATCTGGGTCTGAGCCACCTAGGTTAGCCTAATCTGAGTGTGTAGTGCCCCTACCCCAAAGCTTTGCCTGTTTCACTTAGTCCTTGCTCTTTCCACACTTGCCTGTGCATGCCTAGAGTCAAATTCCATGCTGCTTTGTGCTGAGATGCCCATAGTTCTTCTTAGTCAAAGAAGAATTTATTTCAGAGGGAATTGTAAGGAGGTTATTTGGAACTGTTGCCTGCTGAGTGATTTTTGCATATGTCCTTCCAAAGTGGTCGAGTTCTAGTTGGATTAAAGCTGAGTGTAGGATCTTACCCAACAAGGTGAATTTGCCCAGACCATAACACACGTCCAGATCTGTTTTAGGGAATTTTATATAGGGATGGCTGGGAATTTGAGGCTAAAACTCAGGTAAAAGTACAGATTTACTTTTCAGTTAAGAACTGTCTTAATCCCTGTTAAATTAGTCCTCCTTCGCTTTAGTGTCTTTGGTGCATCACCTCTAGTATGCACCTGTTCATTGGGCTGTAGAGTGGCTCTTGGTGACTTGTAAATCTGCATCCCTGTCATCATTGTTGTGACCTTGGCTGTATTGAAAAGCAGAAACAAATGCTTGCATTTTTCTGTCTTGAATTTGTATTATAATTTTGCTCAAGAACCAGTCTACTTTAAAAAAAACAACAAAACAACCCTCCCCTCCATCCCGCCCAAAAAAACCCCAACCCCCTCCCCACAAGAAAATGCTCTAATCTTTGTGGTTGCCATAAAAAACCTTGTATTTATGAAACCACAGGTTGTATGTTTAACAAAAAGTGGTAAAAATTAGGTAAAGATGAACTGATACATTAGCCACAGTCTTTCCTATTGAGAAATGTAGGTTAAATGCTGAGAGTTGTGAGCTAATCCAGTTATTGCATGAGGCTGTTAACTTTGAAGTTCAGTAAGGATACTTTAAATGTCAGCAATATTAACTGTATATTAACTAATATTCATTGTTTATCATTTAATAAAAAAATCCTTGTCCTTCATCTTCACCTGATATAGTAGTTTGTGAGCCTTCCTATGGAGGGGTCAGATAGCTACATTTTATCAAGTTTCTCCACACTACAAATTTCTTTATTTGTAGTGATGGCTTTCATAGGTGTCCCTTGAGTCAGTCTAGTTTTGCCTGACTGCTGGGAACTGGAGCAGAGAATTTCTAGTTTTACAAAGACCTGCATCAATCCCTTTTCCAATATATAACAGTATGGCTGCTTGCAGACATGGGAAAAAAACCCAAAACAAAATGGTGCTTTACTTTAAGTTTGATGCTGGACTGTGCTGAGCCCAGCACATGCCCAGAAGAGGCAGTGCATTAGTTGGACCCAGCTTTTCCAACATCTTTACAGATCAGGCACTTTAGTGGGGCTTTTTTGACATCTTTATCTAATAGCTGATTGAATCAGCATTAGCTAAAAGCACCAAAAAGCCCTGCTGAAAGGCCCAATCTATACAGACACTGAGGATCTGGGTCGAAGTAGTGTGCTGCTGCTTCCAGTAAAGTGTGGGGTTTCCCATGGGTGACTGGTGTCTCCTAATACTGGGGTGGCACCAGCAGCCAATCGCCGACTGGATGGAGGGGGCTGAGCGTGTGTGCTTTTGTTTCCCCCCCACCCATGCAAAAGTCTGTGGGAGGAGGGGCAGGGGGAGGGGAAAGGGTCACGGGTTGGGGGGAGGAAGCAAGGCTGGAGCTGGCACTGGGCAGGGATTGGGCTTGGGGCCAGGGTCGGCTGCACCCATGCAGCTGCTCCTTACCCTGCGTCAGGGATCATTGCTTGGTGCTGGCATCCCCTGTCCCCCAGCCCTGTACTGGCCCTGGCTGCATCCCCCACCGCCCGGGGCAGGGGTTCGCCTGGAGCTGGAGTATGGCTAGCCTCAGCTGCACCGCCAGGCCGGAGGAGACGGAGCCCCCAGACCCCCCCACCCTGCCCTGTTTAAGTTGTCCCTGGGAAGAGTCCGGTGGCTCCTGCAGAGTCACGGCACCAGGGAGCCAAGGGGGGCATGTGGCGCCTGCCCCCGATCTTTGCACAGGGCAAGGGTGGGCTTGCAGCTGTGAGGCCACAGCTGCAGCCTTTGAAAGCGGTGCACCGCCATGTGTGTCCTGCCACTATGTGGGCCAGGCAGTGAGGCACATGGCGCTGTGCCACGTCACTTTCAAAGGCTGCAGGGAGGCATGGAGCAGGCAGAGCTGAGCTCACCTCGCAGCTGCAGCCTGCCCTTGCCCCGTGCAGAGATTGGGGGGTGGGGGTGGGGGGGCACACATCCTCCTCGGCTCCCCAGCGCCGCAACTGAGGAGCCATGGGGCTCCGCTTGTCCCACAACCTGGCCTGGCCGGGGCTCCGTTCACCATGAATGGGGCCCCGACCGGGCCAGGTCATGGGGCAGTCAGAGACCAGCAGCTTGTCCAGGGCTGCCGGACATTGGAGCCAAGGTTTTGGGGGAATGTGCCGCCCCTCGGGCTCCAGTTACCCCACAAACCTGTCTGGCTGGGGCCCCATTCTCTGTAAATGGGGCCTCAGCCGGGCTAGGTCGGGGGACAATTCCCACAATGCAGCAGGGAGCGGGGCAGGGGTGAATGATTTGGCCGCCCCTACCCCACTCCCTCCTGCACTGTGGGGGTCTAGATCTCCTTTCCCGCCCCACCCCAATACTTCCCCCTCAAGCCCAGAAATCAGAGGAAGAAAAGAAATCTTACCTACCTGCCTGCTGGGCTGGGCTGGGCTGGCTGCAAACTTGGCATGCTCCTCCCGCTGCTGCGGCAGCCTGAAGTCAGGTTGCCCTGGCATTTGTGGGGGCTGAGCCCTGTTAGCCTCCCCTTCTGTTGCTCCCAGTGCTTCTCTTGGGCACAGCCAGTCTCAAGGGGTGCACGTGCCTCTATTTTCACTCCCCTCCTATGTGTTGCCAGTGGGGTTTCCTGTTTTGTTTTGTTTTGTTTTGTTTTTTTTGGGGGGGGGGGG